TGAAGCAAATGATATGGATTTATACTCCTCCTTAAAATTAGATATGTTCATATTTCTTTTTAATCAATCAGGCACATTTTTTTAAGCCACTGCTGTGGGTGGATGACAATATAGTCATTTTTTAGAACTCTATTTTTCTTCTGAGCTAACTTCTTTTTAATTGTAATTCAAACTGGTTTCCAATTTCCTCTTTCTCCCATGCTTTCTTATCCCAGCCCTTTCCCTTCCCTTTTCCTTCCTTTCATTTAGAATACCAGGAACAGCTGTTCACATTTCCCTGGCTTTCCCGAGCAACCTCAGAGCTATCTCATGGGCTTTTGTTTCCCAACAGGGGGAACAGTTGCTTTCTGTTCCCAAATGCTAATTAGTCACAAAAACGAAGTATGTATCCAAAAAAAAAAAAAAAAAAAACTGTGTTTTAAACTCTCCGGCAGAAATGCAAGCAGAATAAAATGCCAGGGTCTTGCAGTGCTAACTGTGTAGACGTTGGTTCTTCCGTCGACCTTGCGGCGCTGCCTCTGCCTCGTGCGGTACTTCTGTCCCGCCAGATACATTGGTTTACAGATGTATAAAGAAGTGCAGTTTTTCTGCTTTACGCATTTTCTTCTTAACCACTGGCCTGGCGTTTAATCTTGAGCTAAGGTTCCAGTGATAGCGCAGTAAGTGTCGCTGCGTTACACTGTTGCATTCGCCAGCTCCAAAGCAGTTTTCAGCGGCATGTGTGCCAGCTTGCTTTCCTTCCACAGCCTTAGAAAATACCTGAAACGGAAAGGCAAAAACGATTCCATTTTTTATCGAATTAATAAGAAATTCCATTTTTATGTGGAATTAATATGAAATTAGAGTGAGACTTGCTAAGTCTAAATGTTTTTCTCTGCTCCTTTACTTCTATGTCTCCATTAATGTACTGATGAATTTGTTCATTGTACTGTTTAAAGTCTGGTTACATTGAATTGCTAAAGAATTTTAATGTGTAGGATTTAGTTTTTAGGCCTAGCTGTGAAACCTGGCAACCAGTGAAGCAGCTTAACAGTTATTTGAAAATTTCTTCTTGTTCAAAGAGGATATAGGTACTAAGGAGCCACACAGCCCTCTCAGCTTCTAGAAAAATCCTTTATAACTTGCTAGCAGCAAAGCAGGTAACGCAGTGACCAGGCAAGTTCTTGGACAGTTGCAGCTCAGAGGTCTAAAAGGTGATAGAAAACTTCTCTTTGACCCTCTTTTTCCCCACTTTCTGCTCCACCTCCGAGGAAGGCTGAACCAAGTAAACCAGAGAGTTGTGAGGACATCTCTCATGCAAGGCAAATATTCTGCAGGCAGCCTTGTAGCTAAGGTAAATAGTGTTGGGAAAGACCTTGGTTGATCTTGCAGAGGCCCTGTACCTTTCTTGCCTAACAGATGCTTCTGCTCCATGCTAATAATTTTCCCTGGATTCACCAAGAGCTACTTGTATTCTCCTGGAGCATAAAAAGCAAAAGATCTTTCAAGATCTTGATCTTTTCAAAATGGAAGATACAATTTTCTCCAAGATTTTAAACTGTATTTTACAATTCATTAGTAGAAGAGCTCATCATATCTTGTACATTTAGGGGCAAGTCTGGTAGACAAGTCAGGTCCTTTCCACCTCCACAAGTTTGTGTGCTGGAACGAGCTGAACGGCAGTATTTCTAGCTCATAGATCATGTAATGATTCCTCTGCTTCATAACACACATCCTGATTTTCCCAGAGGTTTCTCCTGCATCTCAGTGCACTTGTGATGTCGAATTCCAGGCAATGGGAAGGCCAGCCTTGTCTCCTGGTGACTATGTGAAGGAGAACTGGTCAGGCGGGATTTTTGGAGGGGAATTGCTGCTCCAACGCATTAGCCACCCTTACAGGTCTAGGTAGGGCATGCCTCTAGACACACACTGAGGGGTAACTGGAGGTTAACTTTTAATGATCAAGGACTGCAGAACATGGACGTTCATCCTCAGAGTGTCTTTAGGGCATCTTTCCTGCAGAGATCCTTTAGAGCAACATCTTTTCTATCTTGGCTGAAGGGGCGTGTGTGGGCTGGGAAAGAGCAGATGCCGTGGCAGTTATCATTAGATCCTATTTTATAGAGCTGCCTAGGCTATAATCTGCCCCACTGTCTGATCCTTTTCCCCATGAATCAAATGGCAGCTTGGAAGTTATAAAAGGTCAGTAGCAAGTATAAATTAAAATAGTATCATATCCAAACCCGCATACAGTAAAGGTGTTTTGTTAGGGTGTTGTTTGAACAGCGACATTTAACTTTGTTTCATTATGTGGTTTATGAACATATGTATATCTGCTTGGAATTCATTCTAGGACATCCCTCCTTGTGTGGATCTAGCTGTGGGAATACCAGTTACTAACAGGACGAGAGCTAAGAACCATATTCAATAAAGGTGGAAAGCAGGAGGAGTTGTCTAGGACAGTGGCTTAATAAACACCGTGACTATAATAGTTCAACTTTTTATAAAACCAGTTCTACCATCCTCAACTGCCGAGGTGAGGCAAATGGTAGAATTTCCCCAGAGTTGACCCATATCTGTGACCTTCCGGCTTTGTGTAAAAGTGGAAAGTAGGGGAATGATGTGAAACTTTGTCCTTACTTTAGCCAGCTAGGCTGAGATTGAGCTAAACTAGGTTGAGCTTTCAACTAGTCCAGAATGAAGGATGCCTGGAAACAGGGATGCAGAGGGAGAAAAACTGCTGAGAGAGTAAAAAGGAAATCGGAGAAGAGAGGTGGGAAACCTGAGAGAGGCCCAGCAGACTGCAGAGAAATTTGGAATGGAAAATGCTGGGGAAAGATGAAGGCAGCGAGTAGGATGGTGGCAGAGCAGAGACAGGGCTTGGGGAATGATGGGAACGGGACAGGGTTTGCGCTCCGGATAGCGTCGCCCAAGGGAGGGTCGATGGAGACTTGCATGTGACGGTGTTACGTGGCTTTCTGTCCACTTACACTGGGAACCTGAGAGCAGCAGTCAAACTGGGTGCTCGTCTCTCGAGAAAAAAGGAGCAAGACTTAGAGTTGATTAGAATCAGGGAAAAAAAGTAAAAACAAGCAAAAAAGGGTATTTATGACTGTTCCAATGCCACTTAGGCATTTGCTTGACACAGTCTGGGTTCTACAGCAGACACACTGGGTTTTTCTGCCTGCAGACCCAGTGAAACACTCCAGGTTGTTTTATCTGCCTGTGTTTACAGTACTGTCACGAATGGTGTTACTAAGTAGAAATACCCAAACAGCCTTTACTTTAGATATCAGAAGCAATCTAGCTGTAGCAGAATCAGCATTGCTGAGATTAATGTAACCTGTCAAGGAATAGGGCAAAATCTGTGTTTTAGTTCACAGGTATGGAAGAGTTTCTTTGAAATGTTAAAAGAGCATGTGGTTGGTTTATGCTCTTATATGACAAACCACGTATGTAAAGAATAGATTTGCATTCTCACTAGATTGTAAAGTAGGTTTTAAGACCTGATGTGGAGGTTTGAAACAGATGTATTAACCTGATTGCAGAAATACAGAATGCAAAGTGGATGTATTGAACTTCTCTTAGCCATATAATCATTAACATCATCATCAACTGTTGCAATTTTCTTATACAAGTAAGGTTATTATTTGTGAGTGCTAATATGCTAAAAAGGCATTCTCTGGATTAAAACAATATACAGAAAGTTACTTCAAAGAGAAAATGTCAGCAAGTCTTATGAGAGTCAGTTATTTAGTTAAGATCAATGATAAAATCCAATAATAATTTTATGTACAATATTAAGTTTCATTGATTCTGATAAGAAAATATTGTGATACAGTTGTCACGTCCCCAACCTAATAGATTTCTGGGGCCATCTCAGAGGCAAAGAAAGGCATCTGTGAGAGTCCGGCACCCCGGAGCAGCCACTGCCTTTGACAGACACACTGCGTTAACAAGCTTATCGCTGGTATCTTGCCTCAAAGCAGGGAAGGAAACATTCTGGAATATGTTTGCTACAGCCATGTAAAAGAAACTCTGATTTTTTTTTTCCACTACCAAAATGGTATCTTTCACAGGCTGGTGAACTTGGAACAAAAAAGCAAGTTCACAGAATATAGGGCCATGGTTTATAAAAGAACTCTTTATTTCCACATAACCTCCAGCTGTGCAGAAAGTGCTGATTACATGGTGGTTGTTAGATTTAGTAAGAAATTCCTTGCCTGAAATCAAGGTACTTCTGTTCTTAATTTAGATACGTAACTAGTGTGTATTAGCACCTAATACACTATAATTTATACCTTTTTATTTTGAACTGTCTTTCAGTTTACCAATATATAAAAATGAAAGTTCACTTCCTTTTAATGTTAGTACTTGTGAGTTTGAGATCCTCTGCTGACAAGCACGTGACATGCACGTGAATCAAGTATGTTTAAGGAAGGTGTTTTGGTAAATACAACAGCTTACTGAAAGAGGGGAAAAAATCCATCAGCCCTGCTTATCAGCTAGTGTATTTTGATAAAGGTCCTGATTCATTAGCACATTTTTGCTAAACTTTTTGCTGACTTAAGCCAAAGTCCAAGAGCTTTATAACTGGGTCTCAGTTTTAGTAATCCTAATTAAACCTCTTTGGCCTTATTATGCCTTAATCTGTGCCCAGATCTCATATTTGATATAACACAAAACTGTTACTGAGGATGGAGACTATTCCAGCTGTATTCCTAGGAGTCAAGAAATGCTGTTTCCTTGTTGGCAAATTAAGTGTCCTGTCTCAGAGCAGGACACTTCTCCCTCCCTGACACATAAAGTGTGATCTTTCAGCAGCTACTCTAAAATCATTCTGTTTATTGCTTTTATTTGATTTTATTTTGCACTTTTAACATTCTCTTAATCTCTTCTAGCTTTCAATGCATCTTTGGTAATACATTTTTGCAAATGTAGTGTTATAAGAATATGTGTTGGTTCTTTACCCTATGAAAAACATCTTGTTTCATGTTTGTAAAATATTTCATTTTTTCTAGATATTGTGCAATGGACCAGGAACATGTGTTCCTGTCTGTATAAGCGCTCTTCTTCTTGGGCTTCTAGGACTAAAGAGAGCAATCATTGTGTACGTAGAGAGCATCTGCCGCGTGGAAACTTTGTCCCTCTCTGGAAAGATTCTTTACTACTGTTCGGATTACTTCATTGTTCAATGGCCTGCTCTAAAGGAAAAATACCCCGGGTCGGTATATCTTGGTCGGATAGTTTAAAAATAGAAGACAGGCTTTACCTAAAATAAACGCAGAAGGCTTCTCACTAAAGAAATGTATTATTTTCAAATAATTTATTTTCAAAGATTCTTGTTAAGAATTAGTCTGCTACTGGAAAAGCAGGCAATAATAAATATATCTTTATACTGAAGTACATTTTCGTGTAGGTGCATTTATTGCCTTCATATAGTTCACCAGTATCCCATTACGGCTTGAAATCTGTGCTGTCTCTATTTGCATCTAGTTTTCCTGCTATGTGAATAGGAATTTTTGTCTACAAATAAATATGGGAGTTTGAATGAATTGTAACATTTCCTGTAAGGAAACTTTGTGTAGTTTTCTAAATTGTAAGAAACAAAGTCTCGTTTTAACACAACAGACTTTATTTCCTGTATGCTAGCAGTGAAGTCCCTTGTGAATCCTTAGAGTATAAAGGAAACAGTTATATTAAGTTGGCTTCATGACAGTTTGTACTCTACAGTCTTCCAAAATCCCCAAAGCATTAGACTGGTATCATTTTTCCTCTAGGCTTCTGGAGGTTGGCCCTGTGATCTACAGTGCACCTCTGCAAATTCTTGCTCGGTTCTGAAGTTAAATCAGAAGGTGACAAATGTCATGCTACTGGCACAGTACTTATAGATTTAAGAGGTGCTTTCTCCCAAGTTTACATGCAAAAATGCTTAGCAGGCTTATGTCACAGAGAGCAAACTGTTGCTTGCAGTATGTGGACTGGTTCAGTCTCTTGTATGTGGGAAAAAATGAGTGTTAATACCCGTAAAAGTGGAAGAGACAGACACTATCGTCTTTTCCCGATACAGTGAATTTGGCTTTCTGCACATTTTGTTTTCCTCTTTTTTAAGCACCTTACTTTTGGAGTACGGTTTGCATTTAAGAAGATTTTTTTCATGGCGAATGGTATTATATTCCTCGGAACAGTTTTTAAAGGGTGCTTTGTTGGAGGTAAGTATGTGAAAGTCTACTTTAATATTTCACATTCATCTGGTAAAATGTAATTCTGCACACCTATAAAGCAGTATAAACACCTCTGTCCGCACACAGTGCTGTGTGTCTGGACAGAGAAACACATGCAAAGAAAAAAGCTCACAGAAAAGCAGAAATGCTTTGCAGAGTGCACAGACTGACTGCAGCGAAGCCAGCAGCAGCTCCTCGTGCTGTCACAGAAGGAAGCTTTTGCTGTGTGAAGCCCTTTCCCCTGTGTCACATGTCAAAAAAAGTTGCAGGGGTGATTCTGGTGGGGACTGGGGAGCAGCAGGGACTGGCTGAGCAAAAACACTGGCTCTGCTCTTCAGAAACAAAGTAGAACTTTGAAGAGAGGAATATTTTGGTTTTCATAAAACAGTATGTAGAAAATTACCATCATGATATTGCAAGGCCCTGTAGGGAAGCCATTATAACCTATCCAACAAGCTTAATAATTCTTAGCTGTGGGAGAGAGATAATTAGAGCCCATTGATGTGGTCACAAGTAAGTTCAGAACATAGACTTTTTGCGGTTTTTAAGCTAGATTATGTCTGACATTAAAGAGCAGTTAATAGGTTAAGAGTATGTGGGAGGGAATCCTTGCTCAGTACATGTTCAGGTCCTTGAGAATGACCCAGCTGAAGCAGCTCTGATGTGTTTAAGGGCCTTTTCCCTGGAGTGAGGACTTTCTTATCAGGACTTTCTGCCTAGTTTGGTAAATTGGAGATACAGTGGACTTTATTATGGCTAATGGTACTTTATTTTGGATGCTGTCCTCCTAGCTGAATCGTGCTTTCTGTTGCACAAGGGGACTAGAGTAGAGGGGAAGGAGGACGAGGCTTCAGGGCAGGATCTCGCTGTGAGGCCGAGGGCGGCAGTGGCTGTCTCCGTTCACAGGCCGCGTGGCAGCGCCTCCGTGGCCGCTGGCCTGGCAGTGGGGTGAACTCCCCCGCTGCCGAGCACACGAGCACAGGCAAGGCCCAAACAGGGCCGGGCTGCCGTGCTGCTCCTGGATGAATTCAGGATTCATCCCGTTCCCTCAGCCTGCTCTGCACTTACCCACTGGTGGAAGCGTCTCTGGCAGTTCTGCTCCCCCTTAACACCCTGCCCAGGGCAGGGCTCTGTCTTTTGGTGCGCTTCAAACTGCAGCTTTAGAAATTTTGTGAGTCTGCCCTGAAACACTGGAGCTTTCCGGAGGTTCTTCTGCCTGTAACTATCACCAATAAGGAAGTCACTCACCTGTTTAGACTTGGAAACTCCCTTGTAAGTGCTCTGAAGTAACAGCCAATAAATATCACAAGAGAGTGTTCTGCAAAACTGGCCTGCTCCAGACTACCTCATATGGAGGAACTGCATCTTCAGTCACATGAGGAGAGCTTTTTCATCTTCACTTCCACCCCTGAGAAGCAGGGCTGAAAGGATTTCTGCTTGTGAACCTCCAGTAGGGGTGTTCCTCACTTCATTTAGTCCACCTGGAAAGCTCAGGTTACCACAATGAATATGAACTGCATTTAATGTGGGTGATCAGCTTGAGTGGGAGCCTATTAGGTGAAAAGGGGAGTGCCCATTTCCTTGTTTTTGCTGCTGTTTTTCCTACTGTTCACTGGCTTAGGGATCAGCCTGAGTTAAGGACACTTATTTCTTGCCAGTTTATAACAAGTCTTACTAAGTGAAAACTTGTGTCAGAAATGGCCCAGAGGGCTGTAAAGTTAAAGCAACTAGACCGACTTTGGGAAATCACAGAAGTGGAAAGATTGCAGCCTAACTTTGACCAAAGCTTCCAACAAAGTCTGCATTCATAACTGGACAGGCCAGAAACTCTTCTAGAGTTTCTGGCTTAAATTCTGTTAAAGGAAGTTTTGTTATCAACTAGATTGGCTTTTCCTTGAAAAGGTTATCTCAAATAACTGCTAGTTCTCTCCAAAAGCACTGTGGAGCTGAAGTAAACTAGCATTTTGTTACCGAGCAGTTCTTATCTTTTGTTTGTAGTAGGTGGGTACAACCAAACTGTCATTGTTCTAAAGGAAAACTGCATTCTTCCTGCTTTGAGTAGCAAAACACAAAACAGTGCTGCAATGTTCAGCCTTAAAGGCTTGAAAGTAGCTGACTTAGATTCCTTCCATTTTAATTCTTGCGTTTTGCTGTGTCTCATTCTTTCCCTTACATATAAGTATTTAGGCAAATAAGTTTCTATTACATATATGGCAAGGGTTTGGGGTGAAATATACTACACTTAGGTCCTCATTGCCAAAAGGGAAAACATAGTATCTTATGGATTTAAAGGAAAATGAAAGAAAGACATTTTTCAAAGAAAAGAAATATGACTTTATGGAAATATCATCATTGAAACTGGCAAAGATTCAAAAGAGAATAGAAAGCATCCAAAAATTCTTTCACTGAGTCCTTGCTTGGATTCAGACTGTTTTAGTTATCAGACTTTTTGTTTTATCAAGATATGCATTAGTTGACCAGTATCAAAAATTCAGAGTTACTTCACTTTTCACCTGGTTGTCATCTTCCCGTGGAGAGTGTGTGATGTATAGACATTGAAAATTTTGTATTTATTTTCCATTACTCCTTTTCTACCATAAAAGAGGAGAGCCAGGTAGACCCTAACAAAATAATGGTATAAGAAAAAAATGACTTTTGATGAAAATAGCCTAAAGATTATTTTTAAGCTATGCCAGAAGTTCAGACAACCTACCTTCAGCCAGCTGAGTTTCCTGTGGCTCCACAGTAGCCATTACAGTCATGCTGGGCTGTCTTGTAGCAGTTTGCATTAATGACTTCTGGAAACATAAGTCAAAACCTCACAAGTACATCCTGAAATTGCACTCGTGCAATTCTGCCACACCAGTTTTTCCAGGCAAAAACGCCCCATCATAGCAGGTGCAAGCCAGTTAATGCCTTGAAATAGGAGACTGCCGCATGCAAATAGCAAACAGACAGTTTTAAAGATGCATTTTCACAAATCACATTTGCAAAGCAAAAAGATCTTGCATATGTTCAAAGGGCCATAGTGCATAAACAGACACATTATTTCTTTCAGCCTCAGACGAGCTCATCAGCCCTCCTTGGCCATTGTGCTCTATCAGGAACTGCATCTAAGAGCAGTCACTTACCGGGAGAGGAGAGAAAGCAGACAGCTTACATGAAAGGCTGTCTCTGAAACAATTAGAGAGCAGCATTTGCACAAAAACCTTTGCTTGATTCAGCGTCAAGTGGCACAATCCAGCCAAACAGATTTCTGTCCCACTCTCCTCTGTCCTTTGCAAAGAACATACAAGGTTTGCTCTGTCACTGTGTCTATCTGGAGGCTGCATCTCCTCCATCTTCATGAGGAAAATGATGTGTTTTAATAGACCCTTGCTAAATATCTTCATGATTGCTCATATACACTGGCTACACAGTACTTGTATTTCCCTTCCAATCTTCTGTTTTTATTACCTTTCCCTTTATAATCCAGTTTGAAACCAGCAGTCAGCTTGGGATATAGAGTTACAGTAGTGCAGCAGATAAAAGCAATGCAAGATCAGCAGTTTGTAACTCTTTAAAGAAACTTTTACTAATGCATCTGCTCTCACACATGGATGCCCTGAGAATGAAACTGAGATCGCAGATACGGAATTTCCGCGCAGCTTCTTTTCATTTACAGTGGCAGGCTTAGGAAAAGCCTGGCATAGACTACTTCATAAATGTTAGAAGCTTAAAATGTCACCTTTATTCTTTGATTTTTATTTGATTTGCATAAATTAGAAACATGTGTTTTTAATCTAAAATTGGCTATTTTAAGACAGTACAGCAGGGATAAGTAATCAAATTCATTTCATATGGAATTTCCACAATTGATTGCAGTACTGCATCATATACATCATACAGGCTTGCTTGAGCTCATAGTGTCCCTTAAATACATTTGCTGTTAGCTAGACAGAGGGAAAGTCTTGCTTCAAACAAGGCTGTTGTTGTTTTTTTGTTTGTTTTTTAAAGAAAATAGTGTTTATTTTTCTTCGGTGCCAGTGCTCCTTTAGCCTTTCCCTGCTCCTCAAGCAGTCGTGATGCACGTGGGTTTTCATCACTGGGGTACATATCAGATACCTGTTTGCACTAGACATAGAACCTACAGCCTTTAGTCTACATCTTCCCAAATTGGCTTCAGGAAACTAGTTCATGAAAGTAATTATGAGCTAGTTGTTGATGTAGGAGAAACAGTGTTTAAGACATCAGTTCCCTGGGAGGCTGGTTTTTAATTATAATTTCACCAAAATTAATCTTCCGTTCATTTAATGCTATATGAGTGAAGGACAGATTGCATGTGATGAATATAAGGTTCCATCAAAGTGATGCCTGTGTGTCAGATGAGCAATGAACTGCAGAGGGGTTGTCTCTATTATGGGACAGAAAAAATAAAACAGTTCTGAAATTTTGCAAAAGG